CGTGTCCGGCTCCATGCTGGGCATGGAGCCTGCTTAAGACTGTCTTTCTCCCTCTCCCTTTTACCCTCCCTGCACCCCTCCGACCTGTGTGCTCTTGGGTATGCATGCTCTCTTTCTTAAAATAAATAAATAAATAAATAAATAAATAAATAAATAAATAAATAATAAATAAATATAAAAGATGCTTATGTGAAGGAGGGAAACAACTTTTAACATAGTTCAAACTATAGAGAACAGAGAGTTGGTGACAAATGAGCCACAATGCATGAGGACAAACTGAACATTTGGCTGTTGCAGGGGGGATCTTGAAGATCATTGAAATCAACCCCTTGCTTGACAGAGGAGGGGATTGAGGCCCAGAGCTGAAGACTCCCTCTGGAAGAGAAAGTTTGTACACAGGACACCTATCCTGGTAGGAGTTCAAAATAACCCAGCCTGATCCCTGGCCTGGTGAGATTCTGGAAAATCTCTGTGATTTTGGTATTTGAAGTGGAAAATCATTTTTTTTCAAAGATGCTTGGTTCCTTTGCCATGTTATTGCCCAGATCCTATGGATAATTTCCCTCCACAGAGAGCAAATTAGGCAGAAGTCCCCAGGATGCCAGGCCTCGTGTAGGCTTTCCAGAGCAGTTTCCTGCTGCTCCTCATTGCTCTGTGGCCCCTTCCAGGAGTTTGGGACCCCCATACGAGGCTCCTGAAGATGCCCACTTGACTTCACAGGCCATAGGATCAGGGAGTCTTTGAAGCCCTGATTCCCACCACATGAGCCTGGGATCTCTGAGCAGCCATGTTTACCATTGCACACAGCACCTCCTCGTGCTCAAGCAAGGACACGCAAGGGGAGTGGAGGTCATCACCCATTCACTGGACTTCTAGCCATTGGGGATTGCTGTGGGGAGAGCAGGGCGGCCGCTGAAGAAGGCAATGCAGACTCTCAGCCTTGCATGGATTCACAGAACAGGTTTGGTTGGTCATGCAAGGACCCCGTGAAATGACCTAAGTGATGCCTCATGACCTCTTCCAATCAAGAAGTGCCATGGGCACCCAAGGGCAGCTCTGAGTGTCTTCTGCCACCCCACCCCACTTTAGGCCTATAGGAGAAATACAGGTGGTGGTAGCTCCCTCTAGTGGAGTTGTCAGAAATGGACAGTGGCTCTGAGTCTTAACTGGGGAAGGCACCTTTCAGAGATCCCAAGCTGATGAGCATGACTCAGATTCTCCCATATGTCATCCCCAGTAGTACATGCAGTTTTTGGAGGAAGTTATTTTGTTTTGTTTTTTATCACCGCCATCATGGGAGGCTGTGGCTTCAGGGACAAGCATGCTTGATCTCTGGCTTAAAGGCCTCAGGGTCGGCAACATGCCAGAAGCCTGAAGGCCAGGAGCTCTGACCTCCTATGCAGGAAGTCTCTTCCAGCCATTTTCACATCATGGACAAACCACTTTCACTTCTCCGGGGCGTGCTGGGGGTGGTGGAGTGCAGGTCAACCAGCTGATCTCTCATCTCTGAGATGCTCTATGACTAAGTTGAGCTCACAGGCTATCGTTCAACCAGGAGGAGACACAGTATTGCTCATAACCTGTTATGTTTGGAGGAAGTCTGATGGTCACCAAGCACTCTCACAGACATCACTGCATTGTGCTCTCACAACGACCTGACACATGTGATCCTAATCTCACTGACTCTGCCATGACCACCAGGCTGGCTTTGTGTTCTGAGACTGAGCTGAGAGATGAAGGATCCTCCCACATGGCCTACAGAGCCCGATTCCTGGCCAAGAGTTCCATCAGGTCTGCTGGCTTGAGTATAAAGCTCTATGAAAATGAGACTGAGAAGTTCCACTCATCCCTAGCAGGAGAATAATGTCTATATGACCCATCCCATAATAGGGATGATAATAATAATGATGGTGAGCACTTAGACATGCTTCCTGCAGGCCAGGCACAGTTCTAGACACTGCTTAAATATTGATTCATTTTGTCCTCACAACAACCCTATGCCATAGGTAATCCATAAATCTGCCATTCTTGCACAGACACCAGAATAATTTTACTAAGTGCCAGAGTCACCTGGCTATGATAACTGACTGTCATTGAATATAGATGCTTAATAAGATTTGAATCCACACAAATCTCCCTAAGCAGGGGGAGAGGACTTTCATTTTCCATTGTGTACCTGGAAATTAATTTGCCCTCAGTTATTCACATTGTCATAATGTGATTTCCAATAAGAAATACATATGTGATCTTCATCCTGATTCTTCACAGAACTCCAAAAACTTGGAATTTCCTAAATGGTGAGAGATATCAAGATGTCTTCTGTTATGCTAACGAGGCAAACTTCTGGACTGCTCCCAAGGGTAGGGGTTAGTAGCGAGAAGAACCAACCAAGTGATTAGGAGGTTGGAACCTTTGGTTCCTCCTCTCTGACCTCTGGGGAGGAGAGGGGGGCCAGAGGTTAAATCAACTGCCAATAGCCGATGATTTAATGAATCATGCCTGTGGAATAAAGCCTCCCATAAAATCCCCAAAGGATAGGGGTACAGTGAGCTTCTGGGTTGGTGAACACATGAGATTGGGCAGAGTAGTGCACCTGGAGCAAGCATGGAAGTTTCGTGCCCCTCACCCCATACCTTGCCCAATATAGCTCTTCATCTGACTGTTCCTGAGTTTTATCCTCTTATAATAAACCAATAAGCTAATAGGTAAAATATTTCTCTGACTTCCCTGAGATGCTCTAGCAAATTCCTGGAACCCAAGGAGGGTTTGTGGGAACTGGTCAGCAAGAAGCACAGGTGACAACTTGGTCTGAAGTGGGGTGGAGGCAGCAGTCACATGGGACTGGAACACTCAGCTTGAGGGGCCTGAGGCCACTTCCAGGTAGACAGTGTCAGAATGAGTTGGACTGTAGGACATCCTGCTGGTGTCAAAGAATTGCATATGATGTGGGAAAACCCTCACTCGTTGTAAATGGAATCAGAATCATGCACATGATGGCGCTCAAGATCTCGGAATTACTAAGTGGGAAGAGATACTGGAGATCATTTGGTCCAGTTCTCCATTTTTCAGATGAAATAAAGAACTCAAGGATAAAAAGGTGAAAGGTCTTGATGTACATCACACAGTGAGTTTAGTGGCAGGACCAGGACTCGTCCCAGGGCACCAGAGTCTCAGCCCAAAAGCCTTTCCACTATACCATGTTGTGGCTGTCATGCACTTGAACAGATAAACAGAGATTCTCTCAACCCCATTCCATCTGTGGCCTACAGAGCTCCCTCATCTTTAGCCAGCCCTTCTGAGCCTAAGAAGTAAAATCTTTCTGATAGTTGCCTAAGGCACCCAAGAGTGACCTGATAACCTCACCTAAAACAAAGACAATAATCACCCTAGAATGGTGTGTTCCACAGACAGTCAGATGGCAGAGAGTGGGACAGCCTGAGAGCAGCCTGTGAGATTAGGCCTCCTGCTTATGGCATGAGGGATGGCCATCCTCCTTCATCCATCTGCTCTGGACAAGGCCCCCATGGTCCCACCTTAGGGGCCACGATAGAGGTCTTCTCAGCCTCCTGATGATTTTTCTTCGTTTCTCATACTGATTTGGGGTTCTGCTGGTCCGTTCCACCCACCCCACCTTTTCCTTCCCCGTTGTCTCTGCCTCAGGGTATTTTGGTCTCCTGCTTCCTATTTAGGTTTGATTTCCACCGAGACGTGACAACACCTTGCCTGCCATTTCCCAGCTGGGGCCAATATCAGTGGTGTCCCCAACTTTCCTAGGAGTGGTATGAGTTGAAAGGGAACCTCTGGACAACCTCTCTTTACTGCTCTGTAGTCATAGACTTGAGTGGCAGTCTCCTGGTCCGAGGGCATTCTGCTACGGGTGTTGTCACTTGGCTGAGAAGCAGGCTGCTCTACTGTTGTTGAGCAGGGAGTAGTGAATAAAATCAGGGAATGGGTGTGTGGAGTGGGGAGATGGAGAGACTGAGAATGTAGAACGGAGGCTCAAACATAACCCATCCCAGAAATGGGGTCAGGAAGAGAGCCTGGGAGGAATGACAACAGCCACAGCTCTCCCCTGGCTTCCTGAAGAGGAGCTGAAGTGGGGCAGATGCACAACTTGCTTCCCTGGATGAGGGTCATCCCACCAGCCAGCTTCTGGGAGTGGGCCACCGGACCTCCAGCAGCAGCCAGAAAGGGTGGTTCAGCCTCCATGCCTTCGCTTTCTTCCACACACCCCTCAAGCCCCCAACCCTAGAGTCATCCTTGCTTCTCTCTTTCTCTCACACCTCACATCCAATTCCTTCTGTCATAACCCCCACTGCTGACAGTGGTCCAATCTGTCACCAGCTCACCCTGAGACTATTCCAACAACCTTCTAACTTGTAAAATCTGTTAAAATTCTATTACTTTTCTTCCCAGAACCGTGGGGGGAGGTCTTTCTTCCAACTCAGAATATAAGCAAAGTCCTTTCAGGAGCCTGAGAGGCCCTGTCTGGTTGGCCACCCAGCTATTTCAGGCTTCATGTCCTGATCCTCTCCTGCTTGCTCGCTGTCCTCTAGCCACAGTGGAGGACACACTGGCCTTCCTACTGTTCCTAGAGCATGCCAGGGATGCTCCCCGCCTCAGGGTCTTTGTATTTGCTGTTCCCTCTATCTAAAATGTTTCCTCCAGGTACCTTCCTGGTTCACCTTTTGTTCTCCCTCCACTCTTTACTAACATTACCTTCTAGGTCAGGCTTTCCTTGTCTTCCCTATGTTAAACTGATCTCCAACCCCACCCACCACTGTATTCCATAGCTCCCTTTCTTGATTTCTCTCTATTACCTTTATACTCATCTAGCAAACAATATACTTTAGTTATTTATTGTATCCATTGCCTGTGCCCCTGCACCAGAACATACCCTTCATAAGGACATGGATTTTTGTTGATTGATTTTATTCATTAGCCTGACACACAGACACCCAAGGAACACTCCCTAAATGAAGGAACAAAGGGTAGACACAGGTTGGTAAATAGACCTTCACAAGAAATGTCAGTTATAGGGTTTCTCTACTAAGAAGAGATGCCTAGGAGGGAAAAGGATGTGTGCACGTGTGTGTGTGTGCATGTTTTGCATACATGTGTGTGTGTTGCAGAGTGGCTTGACAATTCCCTCACTTGTAATAAATAATGTGTGAGTTCTTGATGATTCTTATATAAGCAGTTTAACTTTATGTCTTAACAAGAGTCAACACCTCATTCATTCACCCATGTCCTTACTCATTCACCAGACATATTATGAGTGATAATCGTGTGTCAGGTACTGTGCTAGACATTAAGTGGGCACATGGCTAAGATTATGGTCCCCTACATAGAGACTTCCAGTGTGGTAATGAAGGCCCACATTTAGCACATATCTAGGAGGGTCCAGGCATTATAGCAAATTGTAACCCCTAGACGTACTTCATTAGGAAAGTAAAGCCTGGGGGGGGGCGGGAATCAGCCTCATCACTTGGAAGAATAACAAGCAGGTACAATTTCCCCCTCCAGTGCACCTAGAAGGAAGCTGGAGAGAGAGATAGGCAGGCAGGAAGGAAAGACCTTCCAGAAGTAGTCTCTCTCTCCATCCTCTGAAAAAGCCTAGGAGTGAAAAGCTGTCTGTGACAAGAGCAATGTGGGTCACATACCAGAAAGAAGTCCTTCCTGCTCCTAGGAGACCCTGCAATGGCATCATCTGAGGCCTGGGAAAGCCATGGGAAATATAGCTCTGACCCTGACATTTGCCCGCTGGCATGTGTACAGAAGAGGCAAACAACTCCTAGAGAATGGGTTGCCTTCTTGGAGAATGTTGCCTGTCCATGGTGAGGTCAATGCAGAGGGTATTCAAGCACCTTTTCTGATCATCTGTGGGTGGCACCTGGAAAGGTACCCAAGTGCTCTGACACCCTGGATACCCACCTGCTTTTGTCACAAGTGCCTGACTTGTCTGCTTAACTTAGCTGTTGATGTCTTCATGCAGCAAAACACACGGCCTCTGAGACTTTGCCATATATTTATTTGTTAGTCTTCATGGTCACCCATTTCCTGGGTGGTCTGTAGCACAGCCATGCACTTTCTGGCATCCTTTGACCCTGACCTCCCCATACCTGGTCTCTTTTGCCCATACCACCACCTATCACCTTCACCCCCACAGCCTCACCCCAACATCCTGAGCCCCATCTTTAATGTTGGTGGGTGTGGTTTCAGCTTTTTCTATTCTGGTGACTGCTTGTGGGAGGCTACTGGAGAGATGTCAGGCCGCATGATCCAAGGAGGGGGTCTTGTCTTCCTGAGAAGTTGGGGTCCAGGCCCTCTCTGTCCAGCCACTACCAGAAATGTATGTGTAGGTCTCCTTGCTGTGCCAGCCTTTTCCCTGCCAGGGAAAATCAGAACAAAAGGAAGTATAGTTAGGGATATGAGGGTAAGCTGCATGACCAACAGCACCAAGAAACCTGGGAACAATCTCCAGCCTTTTTTCAGTTCCTCTGGCATGCCAATGGTGGTCCCTCACCTGGCCCCTATTTCTGGGCTCTCTGGTTCACTCAAACCATACCTCCCACCCCATAAACCCCCCAAGGGTCCCTGCAACCCATCAGCCACTGCTGAGCACTCTGAACCTAAAGCCACTCCTGCAAAAGTTGTTTTTAAATGCTGTGTCACTAATTCTCTAACTTCAATGGAATCAAGTCCAAGCAATGTGTTCAGCCCCTAGGCCCTATAAAGTGAAGCCTCATACAGTCTACTCAACTGGGATCCCTTTTTCTTAATGCCCTATACCATCAACCTTGGTCCCAGGGGCTTATCTTGGGCTCTTTGTATACACTGGGCATATCTCTCCCTCCATGAAAGAATTCTGGCTTCTGTCTAGATCCTCCCTTGCCCAGGCCATGGGATGCTCTTGTTTCTCCTTGCCTGGGCCCACTGCGGTCCCACCACCTCATGAGCCTCTCTGGCCATCCCAACATGATTGATCACTCTCTTCCCTGATATCCTGAGGCCTTTGAGGCCTGCCCCATACCACACATGTACATTGTTTTCTATTGGAAAGTGTGAGATCCACAGCCCACAGTCTTATGTTCAAGGCCTGCCTCTATCATGCCCAGGGCAAAGAAAACTAGACCCCTCGCTTCTCCTGATGTGAGGTGCATGTGTTTGTGATCACAAAGTACTTCAAGAGCACACCAGAGTTTGGCTAAACACAAACAAACCAACAACTTCTTGCAACTTCTGTCTCTGCATGTGTAAAATGAGAATGACCATGGACAGACCATGGTCAGATAAATCAGTTCCAAGCTTCTTAGAGCAACCACAGGGACCTAGTGAAACTGCTTTGGAAAAGATACATTACCAAAATGCCAGTAGATATTGGTCCTGTGTAGTAACTCCCTGTAGAATGAAAAGATTTAGTATTTATAATTTCAGCTATTGGGGAACAAGCCCCAAGTTTCATAATATGGAGTTACTGTAATTTAGTAAAGCACAAATGTGATGCAAAAGTATCCTGCAAGCCTGGTGTTCTGGGGGCAGCAACTCACCTCATGGCTAAGTGTTGGGGGCCATGTGACATTGGACCCACAAGACCAGCAGCAACATACTTTCCAGTGGGGACATTTGTGTGGTAACCTCTGCCAAGGGGTTGAAAACATTTGTTTCTTTGTGAAATTCTAATGGTCATCAAGTGAAAGATAATACTTTAGCAAATTATAAAAATGGGTTTTTTTTTTGTTATTTCAGAAGAGAACAGAAAACTTCTTTAAAATTATTTATTTACTTTTAAGTAGTGTCTACACCTAACATAGGGCTTGAACTCACAACCCGGAGATCAAACGTTGCACACTCCACTGAGCCAGCCAGGGTACCCTAAGAACAGAAGACTTCTTGTTCTCACAGACTGATGATTGGGAAAAAGCCTGTATAAGCACTTTTGCATTCAAATTTGGGGTTGTGTCAGGTGTCTGGATACAATTTCCAGAGGCCAAGGGTCTGTATTAGGCTCACTTCTTATGATATGAATATAAACTATACACAGTGGCCTTTACCCCAAGGCTGCCCTTATAGCTTCTACAACTCTTCATGTATTCTCAGGGAATTCACTACACTTTACACATCAGCCTCCCCTTTCCCCCAAAAAAATCATTGAAAAATCATCTGACCTAGCGTTAAAAATGGCAGATTAAAAATATGGGAATTTTTGTTGTTGTTGTTGTTGCTGCCTCCTGAAACCCTACTAAAATACCTGTGAGGGAAATTTTTAAAGGGGGCAGGGAGATAAAGTTATAAAGACAAATAAGTCAGGACAGTGGATCAAATATAAGTAAAAGCTAATTTGTAGCTGACGAGAACCCATTGGAGGAACAACCATTGGAGAAACTGAGGAGAAGAGCAGGATTTAAAATTGAGTGCCTATAGATGAGGGTCAATGAGATGTGGAGATTTGCTCCCAGGGAGTCAATGAAGGCTTGGGACTTGGCAGCACCCAATATCTTAGAAACATAATCAAGGGGGAAGTCTAAAAAGTGGCTACAGTTAGGCATATCTATCTAGGTCTCCTCCTCAGCCCCACAAAGCTACTTACCCACCTAAAACCCCATCAAAGAAAAGCTTGAGAAGAAACTAAACCAGAAAGGCCTGGATTCAAGGTCAGCTGGTCTTAAGTAAGGCAGAAGGCATGTACTGAAAGTAGAAAGGGTTATATGTGGCATGAGTGTCTACATGCTCAGTGTGAAAAGTCTGCCACCTTCCCTGCCTTGCTCCAACAGACAACTGGAGAACTTCCTGGAGAAACTTAGGGAATCCAAGAGAAAATGCCTCTAGACATCAATTCCTAGAAGTCCCCAACAAGATGGCTTAGTCTCCACTACATTGCCTTGCCATGAGCTCACCACTCAACAAGCCTCCATAGCATAGCCCTTTCACACCTTACTCTTGAAAATAAACAGTTACTCTCAAGTTACAAGTATCTGAGGAAAGACTTGAGCAGACCAAAAAGACAAATGACAAATTCAGAGGAAACAGAAAATGCCAGAAGCAAAGAAAAAAAGATCGGAAACCCTCACTTAAATATTTTATCCTCAAAACAAGAATAGGTTGCTATAAGGAAGGAGGCATCAAAGAAGAAGAAAATAATTCTAGGAAATTGAAAGTATAATAGTTGTTAAAAAAATTCAACTCAGTGAATGTAAAGATCTAATTGGCTTTGTTAAGTAATTCATGAATCAGGCACCGTCTCATCTTATAAGTAAAGGGGAGCTCTGAGTAGTTAAGAAATGGAAATGGAAGGTCTTTATAGGAAAAGGTAGGGCAAGAATGTTATTAGAGAAAGAAAAGAAAAAAAAGAAAAGAAAGGGAGAAAGAAGAAAGAAAAAGAAAGGAAGGAAGGAAGAAAGAAAGAAAGAGAAAAGAAAGAAAGAAAGAAAGAAAGAAAGAAAGAAAGAAAGAAAGAAGAAGAAGAAGAAGAAGAAGAAGAAGAAGAAGAAGAAAGGAAAGAAGGAAGGAAGGAAGGAAGGAAGGAAGGAAGGAAGGAAGGAAGGAAGGAAGGAAGGAGAAGGAAGGAGAGGGAGGAAGAGGAGGGAGGGAGGGAGGAAGGAAGGAAGGAAGGGAGGATTGTTTCAGTTAAGATCCCTTCTCCTGAGGGGAAGAGCAGGGAGTCCTATCATGCAGATTACCTTATCTTCCTTTGGGAGATAGAGAGGGCCCAGATGACAGATTGTCTCTGTCATATCTTCTTGATGCTGACCAGAATATTCTAGATTGATTGGTTTAACATTCCACTCTTGGAGAGGTTGCCCAGAGGGAAGTGACTCCACCTCTGACCTGATTTCCTCTTTAACACAGCCGAAATAAAACTTAAATAGGTCTAGAAAATAAAGCTGAGGAATTCTCCCAGAAAGTAGAAAAAAAAGTATAAAGACAGAAAGTAAAGTAAGTGTGATACTGTGATTTATAAGAAATATATATTTTGGTCTTTGTCATGGTTCCTGGTTCACAGTTGCCAAATCCCATGTAATTTCCTAAATGATTAGAGCAATAGGGGCATCTATTGTTATAATATTTGGCTCTTGTCCTTAGTTTCTGAAATAGCTTCAGAACCATAAAGGTGAAATGGGTACAGGCCTCTTTGAACCACATCTGAGTTTAAGTGAATATAGCAACTTTTGGAAAGCCCCTAAGAATGGGGGGCTGGTTGCCAGGGAAACCAACCCAAATTAGAGGGTTGGAGCTTTCCATCTCATCTCCCTCCTCCCTCTACACCACCCAGAGACCTCCTGGGAGAATGGAAGGCTGGAGGTTAAACAGATCAGCAATGGAAATGATTTATTCCCTCATTGTATGTAATGAGGCTTCACAAAACCCCAAAAGGACATGGTTCTGAGAACATGCAGGTTGATGAACATGTAAAAGTGCTGGAAAATGGCGCCCCTGAGAGGACAGGGAAGCTCCATGCCCTTTCCCCAATCATGCTCTATGCATCTCTTCCATCTGACTGTCTTGAGTTACATCCTTTTATAATAAGGTGGCAACCTAGCAAGTAAACAGTTTTCCTGAGTTCTTGAGCTGCTCTAACAAGTTAATTGAACCAAAAGAGGAGATTATAGGACTCCTCAATTTATAGCAAGTCTTTAGAAGGACAGGTAACAACCTGGACTTTCTATTGATGTCTAAAGTGGAAAAGAGAACAGTCTCGTGGGACTGATTCTTTAACTGTGTGGGATCTGATAATGTCTCCAGGTAGATAGTGTCAGAATTGATTTGAATTGCAGAACCCAGCCAGTGTCCACAGAATCTGAAAATAGCTCCTTTTTAACCATCCCCCACAAACATACATGTTGTGGCCAGTGGTGCTGTGAGTGTAATATAAGAGTAGAGGACACACACAAGTGATTTTTCCTTAGAATAAAGAAATGTAAGAACCAAGTAGGAGATCCGAAGTCAGTTAATAGGAGTTCTGAAAAAAGAGAACAGTCAAAACCAGAGTAGAAGAAAATAATCAAGGAAATATTTCAAGAAAATCTTCAAGAACTGAAAAATGGGCATTTTCAGACCATGAATGCCCACTGAACACCCATGAAAATGAATAAAAATATACCTACATCAAGGCACAGCTTGATGAAATTTAGGAACTGGGACAGTATCAGATTCTACCAAAAGCAACGCTAGAAGCTAGAAGACAATGGAGGTGATTTTCAACCTAAAATGCTATAATTATTCAATCAGGATAGTAGGATATCTGTATTGCTGGTGGGAAGTTTAATAAGTCCCATTCTCCTTTTGGGCATCAAATAGTATTGAGTATATAGAAAAGTAAGTAATAGAAAAGAAGATATTTAGTAGCTATGGAGAAAAATAAAAAGTACAAGAAGGGAAATGTAGTTA